TTCGCGATAAACGTTTGGGCTAAAAAATAACAAACCTGAAGGCCACTTTTGCCTTTTCACATTCTCCTCCCCTTCGCCCTTTCCCATTTCCCAAGTCACCACGCAGCCTTGCCCTGACCCCGCACAGGAGGCGCGCGGGGGCCCCCTTTGCTCCTCGTGCTGGAGGCGGCTCTCAGCTTAACGCAGGGTCCCTCCCGCAGCCTGCACCCCAGCTGTCCGCCCTCCCGCTCCAACGAAGCCTGCCCCCTGCCACCCCTGCGAGCGGGACACCTGGAAGGCCGCATCCCCTCCCCACGGAGAGAGGACAGTGGGAAGCCACGGGGAAGGAGGCCTCACCTTCCAGCGGTGCTTTCTGAAAAGGTGCTGAACCATCGGGTACGCGAGAAAACAAAACCTGCAGGACCGGGAAAGTGTGGCTTTAGGGCCCAGGGGAGACAGAAACAGCCTCTTTCAAGATTCCTCAGTTGACTGCAACAGAATTCGATCAAGAACGAGCGGAGGAAGCTATGACAGCCGTGCCCGCCCACCCCAAAACTGCCCCCAGACCTGGGGGCTTGGTCAGCTTCAAACAAGGGCTTTTGGAGTTGCAACACTGCCTGCTGGAAACACACGTCGTTAGGAGTTAAAAAGGGAAAGTGCCAAAAGCAGAACCGTTAAAGGAGCGGAGAGACTCAGTTCAGGGGTTGAGCCGGGAGTTCTGGTTCCTCGGGAGCAAGAGAAGGGAGAGGGCTCGGGTCAAAGCGCCCCGGCGAGGTCTGGCTGCAGGCTCCTACCGCAGCTTTATCCAGAGGCGAGCGACGAGCTGTTTGCTCCCAGTCCCGCCCAGCAGCACCCCTGCATCCAAAGCTCTGCAAAAGGATGGCGGAGGACGCTCGCCTTCCCCAGAAGCGGTGGTGGGAGCTGCACACGCCCTCAGGTGTCCCGAGAGGTCTGACTCCTTGGGAAACCCCAGCCTTCCCGCCCCACACGGACGTAGCCGTGCCGTACCTTCCCCGCACACATCACACAGCCCGCGTCTCCGCTTCGATCTTCTGCTCCCCGTGTAGGTTTTCCAGTTCTTGGACCTGGGTCACGTTCTGCCTGATGGCAATCTCTGGGCCCCCACCGTACAGCGTGCTTAAATAAAGCCACGTCTCCTCGGAAATCTGCCCGTAATCGGCGCCTGGAAGGGACGAGAGCAGCTGTCAGACGTGCAGGGGCTGGCGCTGGAGGAAGAGGCTGGTGCATCACAACACAAGGACGTGCTCCCCTCTGGCCACTTTCCCCTGCACAGGACCAGAAAGGCAGGAAAAGCGAGGCAGGAGCAGGCCCGTCAGCTGCAGGGCCAGACCCCCAGAAGCCCCCACCTTGCTGGCAACTCCTCGCTGCGCTGCTGTAGCCAGAGCAGTCCCGGCAGCCCCTTGGCAGTGCCACGGCCGTGTCACCGGCTGCTGTGGGCTCACCGCTTCCTTCCCACAGAGGAACTGAGCAGCCCACAACACCCGGGGCTGCCCGAGCCCCTCTCACCCCAGGGAATGGGCTCCAAGAGCCCGGGACCCACAGCCATGCCCTCGGTCCCCGGAAGTTGGGTCTACGCTGCCCGGGAGGGAGTGCCAACCCCATCTCTGCTGTCCCGGGAAGGACAACGTTGTGGTCACAACGCAGGGAGAGCAGAGGTTTGCCACAAAGCTCAGAGAGGTTTCCCACAAAGCTCACAGAGGAAAGCAGAAAGGGTTGCTCCGAGACAGGGAAGATACCAGGCAGATGGAGATTCTGTCTCTAAGATCACCCTCCACCCGCCTGGCCGCAGAGCCGGCGAGGACAGCGTGAGCAGTGTTATTTCCCAAGCTGGACCAGAGCAGGCGCCGAGTGAAGACCAGGCCAAGAGCAACACAAGCTCAAAGCTAGGAAGTTGGGCAAAGGGGAAGGGCGGAAGGGCCTGGGGAACTGCACCAGCAGGAGACGGGCTCCCGCGGGCTTCGTGCCGAGTCACAGTGCCAAGCTGGTCCCGTGGGAGCTGCCGGTGCGGAACGGAGATGGCTCACTCGGGCAGTCAGCACGGGGGTGTGCAGAGCTGTCACCCTCTCAGCACCATCTTGCTCTGTGACCGCTCCACTACGGCCAGCCAGACCCCGCCGGCCGCTCTTCTCCTCCCAGGAAGGCCACGAGGGAGCGAGCACTTACCCTGCTTGACTTGCACGTGGCCACCTGCCTTCGTGAGTGCAATCCTGCTGTTGTCGATGGGCCCGGGAGGCTCTGGAAGAGAGCAAACGCGTCAAAAACCGTTCTGCTTTCCACGCTGACACCACATCCAGCCGATTTCCCAAGGTAGCTCTCCTGTTCCTTCCGCCCTGCCCCGGGGACATGCAGGCAGCCTGAGCACCGAGCAGTTACAGCCGTTACCCGCCGGGTGCGACCCTCGCTGCCGGGTGCAGAGGTGCGCCCAGCAAACAGCCTTGTTTCCACTCTGCCTCTTACCCCTGACAGAGCCGCGAGACTCCGGCTTCTTACCGTTATCCTTCCCCTTGACAAAGGCTTCCCACTCCCGGAACCACTGCATGCTGATACAGTAGATGACGCTTGGAGACTCCTCTGCCTGGAAAGCCTTGTTCAGCTGCGAGGGCAGAGGAGACACGCAGGAAGGATTTAGTCCCTCCTGAGATCGGGGGGGGCCCCTCCAGGGCAGCCTTGCCCTTCTTCAGAAGAAACCCCATGTATCACAGAATCAC